TAGACGTTGCTCGGTGGGAGCCAAGAGCTTCCAATGCCGCTTGACTGTCCGAGAATATTTTTATTGACTTGTGAGTGAGGTTGGATTTATCCAATCTCTCCGCATACCATTCAATAGCGTAAATTTCCGCTTGATACAGCGGATACAGAAATACAGTCGCATGAGTTCCTAGGCAGGTAGATAACTCTGTCCTGGGTCTGCGACTGAAAACACCTGCACCCGAACCTGCACCTGCACCAGAAGGTGTTTTTGATCCATCTGTGAACCAATAACTATCTGCTCTTAATAGTTCCTTCTCCCGCAGGATCCAGTCCTCTCTACTCGGGAATAGTACTTTATAAGGCAGTTCGTAGTTGACAGTTGAAGACATAAAGTCAGAGGTCATTTCCAGAAATCTGAGACTTCCAATGTCAACCAACAGTCTGTTGCACTCTGCATTGAATTGATTTGTGCAATTTGCAATGTGCACAAGTCTGTATGCAGTCCATCTAGCCTCTCTTTCCAGAAAAATGTGGAGAGGAGGTAGATCTAGACGGATCTCTATGGCCGCTGTTGGTGTGGTACTGATGGCACCACTGATAGCCAGAAAAGCCTGTCTCTGTGAGCCAGAGAGCTTCGCTTGGGCCGTTTTCCGTAAAACCTTCGGCTAGCAAGCAATTGCACCATACGTGATCATTGATTTGGCAATCATCACATAAATCCAATGGATTTGTTTGGGACCTAAACCCCAAGTTTGACCACAAATCCTTTGACATGTCCATAGATACAGTCTGGCTTTGTGTAAAAGTTTTTCCAAGTGAGCGTTCCAGGTGAGTCTTTTATCAAGGACAATGCCAAGATATTTCAGATCCGTTCCAAATGGAATGACCACACCATTGAGGAAAAGTGGCGTTAGATCGTCCAATTTCCTTCTCTTGGTGAAGGGGATTAACACAGTTTTGCTGGGGTTGACAGACATCTGCTCCCTCAGGCACCAACTGTGAACAACGTCCAACGCGCTTTGGAGGATATTACAAGCTACCCTCTCCGACGTGGACCTTGCCAGGATGACAAGGTCATCTGCATAAGCTTGCAGATCAACTTTTCTTCTGTCGAGGGAATCAATCAGACTATCCACCAGGAGCGACCACAGAAGGGGAGATAGTACCCCACCTTGAGGTGCAGGACTAAGTCACAACAAAAAATTCGCAAAGAGGTGGTCTGCGAAAGGCCGAGTTCTTGTGAACGACGCGAAATCGACTGCCTTGGATTCTTCTGTACACTCTCGCAGACAGCGGCGATGTTTTAGGTCGATCGTATACTGAACCAGTTGACTCAAATTTTTCCACCACATTGCGAATAGTCCTCTCGTTAGGACGATCATGGCGACCGTAAAATTAGCGAAGCGTGCAGTACGTTACTCGAACAAAACACCCATTTCTCTGGTGGAAGACCTGTTATATCTAGCTACCGGATTGAGCAATTATCTACCATATTCGGCGATGAAGCAACTCTGACTGGTGGAAGCTAGCATACGCAAGCAATGTTTTTCTTCTTTTGACGTTTCCAATCGATCACATGTCACTTATGCCATTTCAAATTGCATTAGGATAGAGTCAATTTGTGATATACTGCCATAGAAGAGAGTAGATTTCATGAAAACTTATCGTTAAACCAACTTGAGGAATTCGAGTTGGTCTTGAATTAAATATGTAAAGTGTTTGCCGATCATTTCGCAAATGCAGCAGAAATAGCTATGTCAAATCACTTGGGACAGAACATGGTCCTTCCTTGCCCCCTCGTAAAGAAAATCAACATCAAATTTCCATCGCCACCCATCACTGAATAAGAAATATCGAAAACCTTATTTGAAATGAAGAACAAATCATCCTCCGGTATGGATGAAATTTCTATTATTACTATCAAACATATATTTCCCGCTATCATTAAACCGCTAACTTTTCTTATAGAACAATATCTCGTGCAAGGAATCTTTCCTGATGTTTTAAAAAAAGGCACTTGTGATTCCTCTCCACAAAAAAGGTAATTTAAATGAAATTGACAATTACAGGCAAATATCGCTGCTCTGTTCCTTATCCAAATTAATAGAAAAGATAATAGTAAACAGAATAACCACCGATTACCTGAAAAGCAACAACATACTCTCAACCTCTCAGCACGGTTTTATTAAAAAGAGATCCATTGAAACAGCTTCCTACCATCTTGTCGATTACATTTACACTCAGATAGATAATAATAACTAAGTCTTATCACTATTCTTTGATCTATCGAAGGCATTCGATACGGTGTGCGTAATATTTCTTTTGAAAAAAATAAGACAATGTAATTTTCCATCTAACTTCATAAATTGGATCAAATCCTACATGACGGGACGAACTATGTACGTCTCTTGTAATCATGTACTTTCTGATTCTCATGCCGTAAAACTTGGTGTCCCCCAAGGATCTGTTGCCTCAACATGTAACAACGGGTTATGTTACAATGTTTGCCGATGATACTACCATTATCATATCAGGTTCAACTGTTGAACAACTTGCTTCCAACATGAAGACCGTTATCAATGATTTCAGCTCCTGGTGTCAGAGAAATAAACTAATCCTTAACAACTCGAAGTCAGTGGCCGTGAAATTTTACAGGAAATGGCGACCCCGCAACGTTATCGAAATTGATGACTTGCAAACGTACACAGAAGTAAAATTCCTGGGTATTCATCTTGACGCCAACCTGAATTAGGAAAAACAAATTAATCATGTATGTGCAAATCTAAACGAAACCTTTTATGCTATATGGCATCTGAAGCCCAGTTTAGATGAAGCAGGGCTCCTAAATATTTACTACGCAATGGTTCACTCTCGGTTTAGTTTAAATATCATGGCTTGGGGAAGAGCAAGAGATTTAAATATAGTTTTTGTGGCTCAGGAAAGAATCCTGAGACTTATATTTAATTTGAATTTCAGAGATAGTTGCCGGCCNAACCAGGTTCAATTCAATGCCACAAAAACCCAGGCATAGATTTTTTCCAAGAAGATAAATGTCTAAGAACAGGATATTATAATAATATCAAGTCAGACAATTCCGCTTTCTGCTTCGATAAGTTTGTTGGGGGTTAAAATGGACACCAGTATGTCTTAGCACAATCATGTCGCTGGAATTGCAAAGGCTACTTTTCGAAAGCTTGGAACACTATTCAGAACCAGAAAACTGTACACACCTCAGCAACTTTTGATGCTTCATGAAGCTCAGATCAGACCTTCTTCTGAGAACGTTTTTACAAATGGATTCAATAACAAGCGATTAAAATCTAATGTGAGTCACTACTTTCACACAGGCACCGCTCTGAGAGCGCCTTCAGGATTTACTTGTAGTGCTTGTGTTTTGTCCTTAAAAAAAACCTGAATATTGTTTTATTGTATATCAATGATACGACGCTGATTCATTCACATCAAAGAAAACACACGCGCCTCATTATTCTGCTCTAATTATTTTCAGTCGAAAATTTGAAAATTCCAGTGATAAAAGGAATGAGTAATAAAGTTTCTCGACGAGTGTTACATTTCTGCCCTTCGTTTCAGTACAAATTCCATCAGGATACATTGGGGTGAAATCATTAAAATTGTTTCATTAGGAATATAATGTTGTGATATACTCGTAGCTGTTGATTGTTGTTTTCCGTCTGTTCTCTCAATTTGCCCGACACCATAAATAACATTCATTCGCTGATTTCAATTATCAACCGTTATTTCTTTCGATGTAACTCAATGCTACCGAAACTTTGGTTTACTAAACTTCATTACCCAAAATAAACACCAACTGAAATTTTGAAAGGGCTCTACTTTCTCAACAAAAACTCTACTTTTGTTTCATTTGTGATTTTTTATTTAACCAGAATTTTCGAACTGTCATGATTTGTAATATATCAATTGTTTGAACAACCATACACAGGAATATGGCCTTTTGTGTTTTTTCTTCAATTATTTGATTTCTTAGCATTATCAACCAATGACCACTTCTCAGACCGTAAGTTCAGTGATCATTGGGACTGAGAATCATGTCCCCTAAGCAATAACAGTAAGCCTTGTTTGGCTAAGTGAGAAGGGCATCTTCAAGGACTCCAATAATCAAAACATCCATCTTAGTACTACCGAGCAACGTCTAAATTGGTAGCAAATTGCCAAAAACGACTCTCCTCGATAGGAAAACTCAACAGACTGCCTCTGGTCTGGATTCCTAGCCATACTGGCCTGAAAGACAATGAAGCTGCTGACTTCCTTGCAAAGGATGGTGCTACAAGCAGCTTCATCGGACCAGAACCTGTCATTATCATCGCTTCAGGCTTTGCCAAACAAACATTGAACACCTGAATGGCAAGAATCTTCTGGCAGAATTTTCGAGGATTGGCTTACTCCAAGGCGTTTATTCACCCTTCGAAGCTTGATATCAAAGTGTTGTTGTTGTTGTACTACAGGAGGGATGAACCACGATGTCTAACAGGCCTTCTTACAGGACACTGTCGTTTGAAACATCATATGCATCATATGCAGAGACTTGAACATTCGGAAGACAGTGTGTGTTGCCTCTGTTTGGGAAATGATAAAACAGCAGAGCATTTACTTTGTGCCTGCCCCACTGGGGACCAAATCAGGTTTTTAGACCTGAAGGACCACTCACCATACAAACTTATCAGCTTCGTTAAGAAGCTGAGTTTATTTGGTCGAGTGTGAATAGGTGTTAGCTACAATAAACCCTTGCGGGTTGCGGTTGAGGGTTAAATAGACCCACTCACTTCAGACCTAACCTAACCTAGTACTGATATTATTATTATCCACATCAAATGATCTGTATTATAATGTATGTTCGTTATCCTAATGATTTTACTGCCTTGAAGGTTCTTTTCGATTGTTCAATAGATCAATTATACCATTTGTTGATTGTAAGCTATCTTTCACCTTAATGATAAGATATCTAAATCGAAACACGTATTTGCCGAAATCAGAGATAAGCTTATAAATTATAAATCACATCAACCGCTACGCAACGTTATCAATACAATTATTATTTTCTGACAAAATTATGGCTGTAGCACATAAATTTGTTTTTCAGAAACATTTTGATGGTTTTCCCAAAGAAAGCGATTTTAAACTTGAAAAAGAAGACTTGCCAATACCTAATGATGGCGGTGAGTTCACAGAAACATTTTTTCAATGTACTTGAAATTTTGACAATCAATCATACGCGCCCTTTAACTTCAATTTTTTTATAGAATTTTTAGCTGAAGCAGTTTATCTCAGTGTTGATCCTTACATGCGACCATATTCTCGTGCTTTACCAATTGGATCTACGTTCATGGGATCACAAATTGCTAGGTGAGTATGAAGAATTTGAAAATGTCCAAACAACCACTGTACAGAGTGGGCCAAATTGGAAAATTCTGAAAGGAAACTCCTATTTCAAAGAAGATGGTAGTTGTGGAATTGGCCGCGGTGGTAGTGCACCCGACTGACGATCGAGAGGCCGTGGGTTCGATTCCCGCCTCGACCAGATATTTTTCTCGAGAGAATTAATCTGGTTGAAGCTGGGATGATTCTGCAACCCTGTTAGGAATCGCTCGCACAAGTTTTTCAACTTCTGAGAGGTGTCTTTTGTTTGGGGGCGACAGCTAATTAACGGAAAAACTGATTTCTAACAGATTTTTTCAAATTTATGGTTGTGTCTGAAAGTCAAATTTTATGACAAACTCAGTGGTGAAAACCGCATATCCATATCTTTCATCGTTTTTGAGTTACAGTATGTTTTTCGAAATTGTGGATTTTCGAAAAGTTTTTCCTGTCAAAAATTTCCCATTTCTATGAAAACATTTCCAAAGCACTTTTTGCGTAGAATGCAATGGTGTAAAAAACCTATTTTGTAAAATGAGATATAATTAGTTATTGATAGAAAACTGTTTTGATGAAACATCCTATATATTCCTATATTTATCAATAGAGCTTGAAATAACCTTTCCAGAAATGTAGCACACTTGATATTTTGGTAGAATCAACTTTGAAATACAGAGCTTTTGAATTTTTTCATGTAGACTATGAAACGCATACTTTGATCAAGTAAGCTTTGGACGATGCGACGCGGCGATAAAACAGAAAAAAATTGTTCAGTAGTAGCTATCAAATGTTGCGTAAGCTTTTCACAGCAATAATTAAAACGCATAGTATCAATAAAACTGATAACAATTTATACTATATTGACTACTAATAAATCCCAATAAATCAATATATCTCATTGTTTGTAAAAAACAATGAGACATGTTGTTTTAGAGAAGGTTTTGGAAATGTCTTCCACCTACTCCTACACACAGGCGACACTTCTCCTGAACATTTTTTACCGAATTAATCAGTTCAATAGAAGTGAGAGAAGCAAAACTTTGCATCACTGCCGCTTTCAATTCGTATCTAGAATTGGTTGACAATTCAATAATAAAATCTTTCAACCTGTTCCAGAGGTAAAAGTCCATAGGCGTTAGGTCCGGTGACCTGGCAGGAAAAGGGTTGGAACTTTGGTTGGCTATTCAAGTATTACCAAAATTTGCAGTCAAAAAATTGGTGACAATTGCAGTGTTGGTTACAGCTTTCCAGGAATCACTGGCAAAAAGCCATGCAGCGTTCAAAATTTCCTGGTCTAAGTTGACGAACTTTTCTGGTTCTGTATGGCTTGAATTTGTGTTTTTTCAAAATCCTTCCAGAACGACTATTTCTTCCGACTCCTTATCCCTATTTGATTCACATAATTTCGGCCTTGTCTTTTCGAATTGACCACCATCGATTAGGTTAGAATAGAATAGAATAGAATAGAATAGAATAGAATAGAATAGAATAGAATAGAATAGAATAGAATAGAATAGAATAGAATAGAATAGAATAGAATAACGATAGGCAAAGGAACACAGTCAAATGGAATAATACAGTTATATTATAAAGAGTTGCAGCTGTTTTATGCCTAGGTATCGACAATAATTTTTTATATCGTGTATCGTACATGTGCCTTTCCGCAGAGGTATTAAAAGAAAGTACATTAGTTTTCGCGTACACCAGACATTTAGAGATGTAAATACTAGGTACCGTAAAAATATTATTATTTATAAACGTTTCTTCACAGTTATCTAAGCGATTTATATTGAAAATTAGTCTCAGTGATCTATTCTGAGCAACAATGACTCGATCGTCCCCAGGTTAATATATTCAATGAAATATGTGAATAAGCTAATGCAAGTACCTTAAGTTAAGTTTGCAATGTAATGATTTATCTTATAATGTTATACATTTATACATTATTTATTTATACTCCAGTAAAATAAAACAGTTGAGTGAAATAAAAAAAAAAAAAAAAGAACACACTTAAAATACCCTGTTTGGCAATTGTGTCTTTAAGCTGTAAAATGGCAAAATAAGCTTCATTAAGCAGCATGCAGATGTGGTCAATGTGTGGTTCCCATGTTAACTTGCTGTTAACATGGGAACTTGCCACATGTTAGGTGCCAAGTTCCTTGGCACTTAAGATGTTGTATCGCAATCTCATGAAAATGTCTCTTAAAGCTTGTTTTCACTTGGATACCTCTCGTGATACAAATTGCTTGCTGCTTCTGCATTTTTCCCGGCTATCACATCACATTTTCCATAATTCTCATTCATTGTGAATGTGTTTCATAATTGAACGAAAACCACTAATTGAAGAGCGTCTTTACTACTCAAATGAAAATTTGACAGCTACCAGTGAAGATTTGCATTCTGTTTTATCACCGCATCATCCCCAAAGCCTACTTGATCAAAGGTGCGTTTCAAAGTCTTCATCAAAAAACCTAAAAGTTCTGTATTCCAAAAATGACTAGCATGCTACATTTTTGAAAAGGTAATTTTAAGCTCTATTGAAATATGTAGGAATATACAGGCTGTCTCTGGAAAAAAATAGTTTTCCATCAATAACTATTGATAACTACTTTGATAAAATGAGTTTTTCACACCAATGAATTCCAAGTAAAAACGTGCTCCAGAAATATCTTCATAGAAACAATTAATTTCTGATAGAAAAAAAGTTACAGTAACTTTTCGAATATACTCATTTACGAAAAATATGCCTTAACTCAGAAACTATGATAGATATCAATATGTGGTTTCCGCCATCAACTCTGTCATAAAATTTGAAAACAGGAGGTCCTTTTTAAATTTGGCCCTCTCTGTACATATATCTTCAGTGTATGTGAAAAAGTGGCCACTCAAGTTGAATATTCATTTTCAGAATAACTGAGAGCAAAAATTCCAAATATCCTATTGGGAAATATGTAATAGGTAACTTTGGATGGAGAACTCATACTATTTCCGATGGAAAACTTGGTGAACCAATGATATTACCAGATTTCGGGAAATTACCGCTGTCGCTTGGACTTGGAGTGTTGGGCATGACTGGGTGAGATAGCACATTCCTTTATACTCGACTAATTCTCATTATCAAAAAAAAATGTTTGTGATTAGTAGTTATACCTTGATAACTTCATTATTCAAAGATGAAGTTCCAACAAAAAAGGTGGAAAAATTCCATGACTCTAGTTGGTACTTGATTAAATATGTAATACTTGACGTTTTCTTCTGAGTAAACGTTGAACATATGAAAGGGTTATCATATATTATTATCACCATTATCATTGTCTCCTTGGTAAATAGAAAAGTAATTTGCCAATCAATCAATATTATTCTGATACTAAAATCTGAATTTCAGTAAATTATGCAGTAATTTTTTAGTTATTCAGCAAATTTATTTTATTTTAGAGCAACTGCATATTTTGGATTCCTTGAGATATGTAAACCGAAGAAAGGTGAAACAGTTGTGGTTTCTGGAGCAGCGGGAGCTGTTGGAAGTCACGTTGGCCAAATAGCAAAAATCAAAGGTTGTACAGTAATAGGAATAACGGGATCAGATGAAAAGGGAAAATGGCTGGTAGACGAACTTGGCTTCGATCATTTCATAAATTACAAAACAACAGATTTAGAGAAAGTTTTACCTGAAGTTGCACCAAATGGAATAGACTGTTACTTTGATAACGTAAGTGTTGTTCTCAAAAGTCGGTAAACGAGATTCAGTATGAATGTTTTTTGAAAAATAATTTTTCATCATCTTCATTGATATTGTTACGTTTTCCCCCCTGGATTGACCAATAATTGACTACACTGGACAATAATGAAACCTAACTTTATTTCACTTTAAATACAAAAAACACTGTAACTAAAACTTCAACTATTATTCAAATGTCTAACGCCTTACTAGATCGCTTCGCGTACCGCACTGTAATTTCTACTTAACTGTATCGATATGCTCGTAGCTGGCTTTTATATATCGTAATCGAAAACGTTAAAAACTTCGCCGGAATTCCATCGAAGTCGGTAGCATTATTCTCGCTACATCTAGAGCGGCAGCGAACATCATATATACGCGCGCTCTCAGCTACGTCACATTTGGTTTATCGCTACCAGTGGTGGCCGGCGTTTTTTTTCTTTAGGGCATGATTTACAACAACATGTATATGTGGTTTATAAAAAGGAAATACAGTCGTATACTGATGATTCGGGTCTCGTCTAGTTCAAAAATATTATTGACTTTGTGACTCGTGCTGATATTTGCAATCTGAATCTCTAAATATTTGACACATCTTACTAATACATTTCATTATTTTCATCGTTCTAGAAGAAGTTTTTTCATAATATAACGAAACCACTCAAAATATGAAAGAAAGTTGGTCACCAGGCGGTTCGACGTGGGTGCTTTGTTCACTCAGTCAATCGGCTGATGTGTGAGTCGATGGTTCAAGCCCGAGGCTGAACACTCAAATTTTCACTTGCTATCGTCCAACCCATGTTAGGAATCACACGTTGAAAGGTAAAAACTCATTAGTCCTTAGCTCGCACAAGTTTCGACTTCTGAGGGTTGTCGTTCGTAGGGGTGCGGTAGTTGGTTAACAGAAAAAAACATATTTTAAACATATTTTGAACACATAACACAAGTAACGTCTATGTATGATCGACACATCTTCATGAAATTCAGAAACTAATGGCTTTCCTGTTTATTTTGGAAGTATACCACATTTTTTTATACAGATATTATTGTGATATTTTGATTCCATTGGCAGGTTGGAGGTGATATTAGTTCAACAGTAATCTACCAAATGAACCACTTTGGCCGTATCGCAGTTTGTGGAGCTATATCTGGATATAACGAAGGAGAAAAACAAGGTAACAATTTTTTCAAGCCGCGATACAAAAATTTGTGATTCTAGAGAAATATTGAATAACATTTATATGTGAATCATTGATTCATACGCAGAGAAAAAAGATAACTCATTATTCTCATTATGCTTAAAACACTGACTCTAACTGAACGCTTCAATGGTTTTTCAAAATTGAATACAACCCTTGCTTTTCCACCATACCATTCAAACACTGTTTTTAATTTAGCAATACCATGTATTTAAACTCGCTTGATACGGAATTGTTATACATTTTGCAAAAGATGATACAAAAATAGTTCAGAAAATGAATTGTTCATATAAGTTCCTTATATATTATTTTTTCATGTTGAAATCAGATTCATTTTCAAATATACACTCGAAAAAACAACTCTAAACATCATGTTTACAGGATGTCAACTGACACGGAAAAACTTTTCAACATATATCCAAATGAAAAGAGTAACAGTTTGATGGTTAATTAAATTTCAAAGGCAATGAAATATTCATTCGCGAAACTTGTGCTAGCGGTTTTTCCTGAATACGTCATTTATTGTTACTGTCAGTCACGAACTAAAGGTTTACCAGGTAACCTACAGGGATTAAATATTGCCTATAGATTCACCACTCTACCAGATGCTACTAAACAAACTTCTGGGGATTTTAGGCCACCACCAAGACATATGGGGCTTAACGAATTCTTATAAACATAAGGGCTTTCAAGACACAAAAACAAAATGTTGTCCAGAAGTGGACATACTGTTTTTTCCCGAAAATAATATGGGATTGCTTGGAGAACATTGGAAGTTTACTTTCACGCGAGCAATGATGCCCACATTTCAGATTAACAACTCTATGTAATTTACCAGTCCACCTACCAGCCAAATCTATAGGCAAGAATACAAGTGGCGAATCAGAATGCGAAATACCATCACATCACAGTCTATTGAAAGACTGTAGTAAAACGACCTGTACGGTAATGTTATTGCTGTAAAGAACACCTTTCGGCACAGAAGATCAAACGTAATATAGCTACAAAATTTCTGTGACATTCCGTATGGAAAAACAAGTGCACATTTGAGCAGGTTTATTCTGGTGATTTTCGGATCTCAGGCCTCGTCGCTGCCAAACGTCCATTATGTGTGAACTGGGCCTTAGCTTTCAAAGCCCTCTACAAAACATCCTCACTCCTTCACTTTTGCCGTCATTCAGTCAACCAATCAGAAGCCACCGCACGTACAGCGGGAAATTCAAACCAGTAGATGAGCAAGGTTGGTCCTGGCCCAAAATCCCATGTATTTTTTATGGAGCTAAACTTTTTGCAATTTTCATGACATCCGATCGGAACCTTGTGGAATGCCCAACTCGATGTAGGTATGTTTCAGAGAGTGAGGGAGAGAGAAACGTGTAATCGATGCAGAATGAAATGAGTGTCGTAGGGATTCAAAAAGCGTTTTGTCCCCAAGATTTCGGTCGGATGTCATGAAAATTGCGAAAAGTTTAGCTTCATAAGTAAATACTGGTCTACTGACGGCAAAAGTGAAGGAGTGGGGGTATTCTGTAGGGGGCTTTGTAGGCTAAGGTCCAGTTCACACATGATGGACATCTGGCAGAGACGAGGCTCGGACCTTGTTTTCCATAAAGAATGTCATAGAACTCCTGTTGCTATATTACTTGAGTCAAAATGAGGTTGAAGAAATAGCCTACATATTATAAGAATATAAGAGCATTGGCTTTCGCGGCTGGAGTCGTGATTGAAATGAGTAAAACCCAAACTGGTAAACCGTGGTCGAATGAAACACGAACCTCCAGAAGTTTCGTTTGCAACAGCGGTAGACAATATCAGTGCGTTGACTGCGATGACTAAATATTGATCAACACGTTCAGTCTATCCATTCAAGAAATTATGAGTAGGTACTTAATTCGAAATAAAAATGCGATCTAACATAGTTTGAACACAATGCATTTGTCATCACTGGAATATTATCATGAATACTAATTTTCAACGTCGTAATGGACAAAAGACACCAGATGTTTCATTTATCGATAAAAATAAATGTCATTAAAATAGTTAATTCAATTTCAAAATCCTAGGGTAATTTTTTAATTTCTGATTCATGATTTTACTTTTGTCTCTTCATAGATGATCGTTTGGTTTTCTTTCTTTATGACTTAATCACATTGCTTGATTTTTACTCGTTGATTTTTTCAAATCAAAAATGAAAATGGAACCTCTGATGAAGAATAAATCCAAAACAAGCACTTTTTCCAAACACAGAACTGAAATACTATTTTCGATATGCGTTTCGCCAACCAAGTAGGCGTCTTCAGGGGATGAATTGAACCAATATTCAGTAGTGTTTGGAAAAATGGCTCGTTTCTGATTCATTTTTTTTGACAATTCTTTGGAATATCTAGAATATCTTCGAATAAAGCTACCTGAAAGAAACTCACTACATTCGATATATTCAACCGTTGACTGTATTTCAATTGATTTTAGATGTTATCATCCAGTTCCCAGTGACCTTTCGTCAACTCAGAATGGAGGGATTCATTGTTTCCAGATGGAACGAAAGACGAATGGAAGCAATAAAACAAAACCTTGAATGGATCGAGCAAGGCAAACTAAAGTATCAGGAAACCATCACTAATGGTTTCGAAAATATGTTCAAAGCTTTTTATGATATGTTAAATGGTGGTAATGTGGGGAAAGCTCTCGTCAAAGTGTAGATGTGGCTGTTGCATTTTGATACATGTCAGTAAATTGCAAATAATGAACTCGAGAGGTTTTATACAAAAGTGAAGGTGTTCATTGTTGGTTATCGTTACCAAAGGCATTTCAGAATTAAATATTTTTGAGTATCATTTTCGTTTTCATTCTGTAGAACATAGAATAGACAAAGACAAAAATTTGACTAGTTGAGTTGAATTTTGGCTCCCATTATATTTCAGGATATGATCGTAACATGTTCAATTCATTTAACCTATCAGCTTTCATAAGTTTTGTATGGATCAACTAAAAGAACCAACTTTCATATCTAACCGTTGCTGATTGGGCAAATATGTAGAAAATAGTCAACAACGTGAAAGAATATGTAGTTGATGTTAAATCCATCACATATGCTGCACATTTCCATTATTCTTGATTCTTCATGGATTGGCTTCAATAGGTTACCCGATTATTGTCATTTTCCATAATATCTTGATACCAAAATCCGTTTTTGATGTTGGTCAATTGAAGTGACAAATAACACTTCTGATGAAGACTTCCATACATTGACTGACTGATTGCGTCCTTTTCGACAAATTTAATTGATTGCTTCTCTCAATCTCGTTCAGAATGATCGATGGTACAACTTTGGTTGACCAGACAGTATGAAGGTTACATGGGTAGGTGAGTCTGAAGTTAGTGGGATTATTCGACTCTGAACTGCAACTCGAGTGTATTTGTTGTGGCTCACGTCCATTAAAATTTGGCCAATTTTACCAGAGCCGATAACTTCATGTGATAAGTGAACTTCGAGATCAGATGGTGAGAGTGAAACCCTGTCAAACTCTAAAAATTCAACCAGTTCTAACGCAGACACTTAGAATGTGTTCTTTTGCCGAAGCCTACAAATTTCCTTCTGAAGAATAAGCCACTTGGATGACAAACCAGGGTGATCCAGTGATCCGATGGTGATCCGATTCAATCCAGTGTGTAACTGGACATCAGTCTGATAGAGACTACCGTCAGGAAGGTAAACAACACTACTATGTGGCTTGAAAAGTGGGTCTCCTGTAAAGCATTTCAGGGTGGTATTCCAAAATGGCGCCGAATGGTACTACCTGTATCCATCAGTCAGAAGGCTCCCTTGATTCTTTCAGATAATCTGTTGTAATGTAAGTTGAAACATGTAGCTCTGGAATCGTACCTGTGGACCATCTTCTCGAATATCATCTATGCCATAAAGGCATTCTAAAGACATTTCAGTAGGGTGGGCCATATAATATATATAATCAAGATGAAGCATTCCCAACTAGTTGCAATAACCTACCTAGATGAGCCATATCTGACGATACATTAGCTACGGCCAAGCATAACTTCTAGTTTGGGTAAATCATCATCTGGGCTTGTTAGCTGACCTGCTAGGGTATAGTTTGTTTTCAGTTTGGAGAGTACTGTCATCAGCTGAGCTATGTGTTGTGGATAATCTATGTGAAGGGGTTCATTCACGAATAGAACCCTGAGATACCCCTGCCAACCACTGAATATACTGATATCAATTCAAAGACAGAAAACTTTCTAAGAGGTCTTTCGTGCAATGCAATACTTGGAATATTTCTAAGGCCATGACCAGAGATTCTCCATATTTCTCGATAGAGGTGATTCTTGCAAGTCTAGTATAGACATGCCTGAAGAAGCTATTGTATAGCGAAACACGTGTTGCATTTTCTAAAAACTATTTAGTGAAAATCCCACAATGAAGTGCTGCTTGAATAAATCTTGTCTTTTGGGTTGCCCAACACCCGTAAGAGCAGATTTGAAAGCGTATTTCATATCCAGTTTTTATAAATTGGACTAATTTGTTGATGTATTTTCGTTCATATGATCGATCTATAAATTAGTGTTGGTCTGAAAATTCCAGGATTCACATTTTTCACACTTCCGTTTCTTGAATGATGAAATAAACTTCAATCACGAAGAACTGAATCTATTCCCAATCATGAAAATACGCAAGAAAACCGGCAACAATATTTGTACATAGTATTCTCAAGAGTTCTATTATTTGATGTTTATTCATTAAGGAAAATCCAATAGGTGAGCTCCACTCAAATGTGCTTGATGAAATAACAACTAGTTCAAAAAATCAAATTTACACAACCGGTAATTTTTTGCAAGACGGCCCATCAACAAGATGGAGCTTAACAACACTACTTTCTTCCACTTAGACAGTGGTTATGGGGTTGTGTTCGCTCTCTGCTAAAGGGTTGATAAAGGTAGTCCAATAAAAAATTAGCTGACAAAATGTCCTCCTTAAAAATAAGTTTCATGTATTTTTGCATGTTTCAAAATTGTTCATGGGGGTCGAAATATAGTCTGTGTAACATTTTTGAATTGACATATATTTCATATTATTTTACTTTGCATTTCATCTCAAAACATTTTTATTCAACAGAACGACCGTGATGGCATATTAATTAATATTCACAATGCCCTAAGAATTCCTAATTCACCACTTTACGAAATACAGAAAGCAAATATCAGAGAGAATGGTTTATCAAGACCTTTCACTATAGTGTCTACGCCTATGAGATTCCTACCTGTTCACATCAGAAACCGACATAGCATACCTAATAAGTGTCAGTATCTCAATGATAAACCCACCAGAGTTTACTTGTTTACGAAGATAAGTAATGAAGACGTCATTAAATCAAATGAATGCTGATCTGGTATCACAAGTATCTTAGTATTTTGAAATTGTTCCAGTAATTGATTAAGCAATCAAACAGATTGACAGTTTTATTCAGTAAATATGGTAAAAGCGAAAGTGTTTATTTTCGAGCATTATTTTGATGGATATCCAAAAGAAACCGACTTGAGATTGGTCGAAGAAGAACTTCCACCAATAAAAGAAGGAGGTAAGTTCTTTCAATTTCCTTGATTGAGGTTAGGAACATCTTGAATGCCATGTCACTATTTCTCTGAGGAAACGAATTCCAATTCAAATTATTTGTATGAATCATGAAAATATAACATAAATTTCATTTATCTACGATCGAATTGATTTTTGATAAATTAACAGAATGCCATCAAGTTGTTTACTCATGACGTTGACGATAAATACTATTCACCATAGGCGTAGGTAAAAATATTTCAATATTAATTAGTTAAGTGTGAAGTTGAAGTCAATACATGAAAAAGCATGTATTCACTGGCATAATTTTGGGTGATGAACGAAAATTATCAGAATTTTCATTGCAATTGTTCGAAAATGTTCTTATAGGACGAAACTCCAATCTCCATTTCTCATTTATCACAATATAATTTCATTAAAGTTGAAGTTACGAATATGCAAATTGAGGAGAAATAATTGAAGCACTATTCTTATTTTCAGTGTGAGTATGTAAAACAAAAGTTCGTTATTCTAAATGACTCAGGAACACCGATAAATGCAATAAATTGCATTACTTTTTTCTGATCACATTGCCTTTAGGTAACTGCCCTCCAGTTTTCAAGCAATGAATTTTCAGACATTTTACCCTAATTATCACCGTTCTTGGGCTACTAATACTTGAAAAAGCTTTTTTGTGAATAAATCTGGAATCCTTCAAATTTTTTATCGATGAGTAAATATGAGTAAATATTTATTCATTTTACAGAATTTCTAGCTGAAGCAGTATTTCTAAGTGTTGATCCTTACATGAGGGCATATTCTGTTAGACTTCCATTGGGGATACCTTTCATTGGAGCACAAGTAGCTAGGTAAATCAAAATCACAATTTCAAAAACCGGTATCATGAAAGTTTCCAAGTCACAATCTTGCAATTTATACACTTTATCACTCATTTATGAACCAGTAGTAAGATGGTGGGACACCGTCAACTAAAACAAACCGTTAAATGGGAGATTATTCTGTTGTATTACAAAAGAACCAGAAATATCCAATTGTGAAGCCTGAAATGGTTGAAGTATCGCTTTTACGTATGAAAACAACCAATGTGAATATGTTCCATGAGGTGAAAATTTCATCTTGGTAACCAATATTTGATAGATTGAAAGGAGCAGGAGGTTTTTTCACCTATTATTAGATGACGAATAGTGCCAAAACCAAGATGAATTCATCTTACTCTCAGGGGTATTGGAAGAATACAAAATTCAAAATGTATCTCTCTTGATTCTTCAAAGAATTAGAATATGACGATGCAAGCATGAAGGTAATGCGTTTTTTAAAAGACAGAGGCAGTATAAGAGGTAACCACTTCAAGACACTTTCTTCAATCATGACTATTCGATCTCTCATGTGATGATGAAGTGGAGTACCTCAGGAGTTTTCTGAATCGTTTACTATACAGTTATATTTGAGCCAAAAGTGGGAAAGACATTGGGTGTCTATTCAAAAAAGTAGTCGTCAGGAGTTCGCATCTCTTCGGACATGTTTCGTGATTGTGGAAAATAATGGGAGCGTTATGACCTTTCAAATTCATATATTTCATTAGAACAAAAAAGTCTTGAAATAACGTTTGTTGATCAATACACTTTGGAACTTTCGTGATACTTTTCACAGTTTTACTGTAACAGAAGATACGAATCCAGAAATTCTGTACTATTTCCAGTTTTGTGTGTGATTATTATTTATCTAAAATTTCAGTTAGATTAATTCATTCGAATTGATGTTTCATTTTCTATTTTGTTCCAGAATCATAGAGAGCAAAAATGTAGATTTTCCAGTGGGCCGATATGTATTAGGCAACTTTGATTGGAGATCTCACACCATTTGTGATGGCAAAGCTCTCAAAGGCCATATGTTCACACAGGATCCTTATATATTACCCGATTTTGGAGACCTGCCTGTCTCTTTAGCTCTGGGAATATTGGGAATGCCAGGGTAACTATGAAAATTTCTTCTTGTTTCTCTTGATGACAAGTAATATACTCTCATGTCCTGCTCGTAGAGATATTAGAATAGAGGGAGACAGGCGTTTGTATCATGTTCTTGCCATTTTTCCTGAACATTTTCAAACAAACGACGGCCAACAATACATATTTTCCAAAATTATCTCTGATATGTACCGCTCTTGGAAGAATCAAATGTGCCAAGTCACTTGAACACCTCCCGTGAAAGTATATACAGAAAAGAGACGAATTTCCAACCTTCCTTCGATATTCCAGATTATTAAACCTGGTTACTCCCACCCCAATTCGGAATCACCTCTAGATATCCATTTAGATATGCAACCTTCTACTGCTGGTGAAGATATGTATCCGCAGCCGATGTCCTAGAATCCAAATAGAATGACGAGATAACTGTGATTTCGTCAGCAGAGCAATACATTGGAGTCTTATTTTTTCCAATAAGTCGTTGATATACAATAAAAAGAAGGTTGGAGACAATATGAATCCCTGGGGAACACCAGTATTGAAGGTAAGAGTATTCGAGATACACCCATCGACGGCCACTTGCAGGGAATGTTCTTTCAGGAAGCTGGAGATCCATACACAAAAATGATCCGACAAGCCATAGCATCAAAGTTTGGCCACACACGGTCAAAGGCCTTAGAAATATCGAGCGCAACAGCTCTTGACTCTCCGTATTTCTCGATTGCATTATTCCAAATATGGGTGACATACGATAAAAGGTCGCCTGTTGATCTTTGTTTCCGAAAGCCATATTGATGATCGCCCAGAATGTTGAAGCCTTCCAAATATTCAAGAATATTATGATTAACGGCTTTCTCCATGATCTTTGATATCCCTGATAGCAAAGCGACTGGTCTATAGTTAATTTGAAAATTTTCTTACCCTTTTTGGGAATAGGCTGGACGCGAGTCATCTTCCAACAAGGAGAAAAAACCCCTTCCTTGTGAGACAGGTTGAAAAGTCTGCAAAATACTGTTGCGACTTCATTGACGCACTTTTTAAATACGATCACGGACACTTCATCAGGACCAGACTACTTAAGCTGTTTCAAAATTGGCCTAACTAGACGTCAAAAAGTAACTTCCGTCATTGTGGATCCTAGTGCGGGAATAGTGGGTGGTGCCTTTCTCAGAAAATCGACTGTGGAGTGGGACGCAAATTGTTCAGCTAGTAGATTTGATTTTCTATGGATGTTTTTGCAGTTGGACCATCCGCTCGTGTTAGTGATGGAATTGTGGATTTTGTAGGGTTTTGGTTAACATATTCAGCTACCGACCAAAAGAATCTACACCCATTGGGATTGGCAAGCAGTTTATTCCTAATTATCTTTGCTTTCAACCACTGAAAGTTTGCAGCTGTTACGTGCAATAACAATCCTAGTTCGGTTTTTGGCACTGTGATTTTTGCGCCACTGCCGGTAGGCGAGATTTTTAGAGGCGACAGCTTGCTCAGTCTTTGTTGAACAAAGGTTTGCCGTCAGAAGTTCATTTCATTGAAAAAGAAATACATGCATCCATGGATGATAGAATAAGTTCCATGACTTCAAAAATACAAGTTGATGGATCAATAGACCTGTAACAAACATGCACCCAGGGGAGATTTCATACAAAAAATGTGTGAATCCTCAAAAGAAAGAAAGAAAGCAATTGATTTCAAAATAAACTCTCCACAACAATGTGTAAATCATGCAAAGAAGTAACTTCCAAACTAACAAACTGAAAAAAGAAGCCCTCATGGAATAACTACTTCCATGTAAACATTGAATTACACGAAATAAAAAATACTTACGAAAAAACTACTTTTCTATGAACATTGGATTATAAAAAAACTTTCCCTTATTCAGTTTGTGTTCCAAACAATCGTTATGGAATCAAGTCAGATATTATTTACAAGATCGGTATACAATATCGTACATGAAAGAGGTAATATTTCACTTACATGGAACACTGTCATTCTCAATGGCGGATATCGATGTTTCGGAGTATTGTCTCTTCAGCACCAATAACTTAATTTTAATAACTTAAAATCTACTCATGTTGTCGATTACAGTACGTAACAACATTCATTCACTTACTTACAGCCATAGGAATTTTGTTCAGATTGAAAGGGCTATATATCCATTACTTTCATCTCAAGGCCGGTATTCTGAAATACAGTAGAATATTCTTCATAACCTGCAACATCCCGAAACATTAAATTATTGTGGAACAATGATGTAGCCCTCCATCCCCATCCACGAAAAAGATTTCAGTTTTCACCTGGAATGCTTGCTTTTAAAAATTTGCCCTCTATAAATTTCTAGAACAGTCCGAAATATTCAGGAGTATTCGAGAGCACAACATACCAAAACATACTGGAACATTCTGGAATGATGTGGAATGTTTGAGAGTGCTCTGGAACGTTCCCAAATATTCTGAAATATCGTGAACCATTCAAAACTTTTTGTGTGTGTGTACTTCTTTGGTAGGAGTATATAAAGCTAGATTTCATCGACCATTAATAATCTAAAGTCTACCGTTTAAATTTTCAGCTGTTAACTAATAATAATAACTTTTAATAATTCACTCACACAAAAGTATTTTCACAATTATCAATTTTAATTTTGAAGTATCTACTTCAAGGCAAAACAAAACATTTCAAAATGATTCCAAATTTCCTATGAATAATTGGTATTTCCTAATGTATTTCCTCTATTTTAGATGGTCCTTGCTTCCTATCTTCAGGCGCATATCACCAATGCTCCTCCTGTTGGTTAACAGGAGCTTCGTCGGGGGGCGCAGCGGTCTTGCACAAAGCAATGCTGCCACCCATTTTCTCCTAACTTTTTATAATAAAAAACACTAGTTTTTTTAACATAAAAACAATTTGATTTTTTGAAGTCATTTGAAACATCAAACATCTTTTATATTATCTCTATCTCAGTTTGAACAACGAACCCTTTCAGGAATACGGCCTACTTTGGAGTCACAGAAGTATTGCAACCAAAAAAAGGTGACACCGTAGTAATATCTGGAGCCGCAGGAGCTGTAGGAAACATTGCTGGTCAAATATGCAAAATCATTGGTTGTACTGTAATCGGAATAGCAGGATCTGAAGAAAAAGGAAGATGGCTAGTTGATGAATTAGGGTTTGACTATTTCATCAATTATAAAACACAAAACTTAGAAGAGGCATTAAAAAAAGTAGCTCCACAAGGAATTGACTGTTACTTTGATAATGTGAGTTTTTTTTTATTGAAAGAAAAATTCGTGAGACTACTTTCCAGCAAAAAATGTTTTAAAGATGACTGAAATAACGATGAAGATTACCTTAGTTACTAGTATTTTGCTCACTCCATGGAATGTACGACTATCTTACAGTATTCGAAACAAATTCTCACTTCTGTCATAAAGTTATGAGGAAAATGCAGTTGTATTCGTTAAAGAGTAAAATTATATTTTTTATTTTTTCTTGGGAAATATCCAATTCTCAACTCTTTTTACAGGTAGGAGGAGATGTAAGCTTTACCATTATGAACCAAATGAATCGATTTGGAAAAATTGCTGTATGTGGTGCAATATCTGGATATAATGAACAAAATCCGAAAAGTAAGTAACTGAGTAATATATGAATAGCCTGTTGTTTATCCCGTATTTTTTTGTATCACCTTCAATGAAGATAAACTTGCAGTCTTTCTGTCATGTGGGATGTCGTCTATCTGTCAGATTTGATGATTTGTGATCCGTAGCCATTTTATTTTAAAACTTTTGTAGGCTCTTCCAGTTCTGCTGCCCCGTTTATTGGCTTTGTTAGGCAAGAAGTGGGTTATAACACATGGGCTGAAAAATTCCGTGCCTAGGAAAAAATGCTTTCCAGCCGAAGTTCATCAGGTGCTCTCCACTCAGATGATGATCGTTTTGATTCCGGAATAAAGTGATGGATCCATGTTTCATTCATTGTAACATATCGACGCAAAAGTTTCAGTTTGTTATGTCTACACATTGCCAAACACTGCTCAAAATCATCAAGACGTTCTTGTTTTTGGTCAACAGTGAGCTTGCGCGGAACTCACTTTGAACAGAGCTTCCTCATGGTCGAATGCTCATTCAATATAAAGCCAACACGTACTTTTAATTTCTTTACAATTTCAACTAACTCACGCAACTCCACTTTTCAATTAATCAAAACGATTTTGTGGATTTTTATTATGTGTCCTGGTGTTACTGCCTCATTTGTACGTCCATTGCGTTTTGTATCATCGGTGTCTCTACGACCACGTTTGAAGTCCGCAAACCAACGTTCAAGTTTCTGATGGAGCGGAGTCCTTATCAAAGAAAACCAATCTTCCACAAACATCCACTAGGCAGATGAAAGATTCACCTCGGAACAGAAACAAATTTCATCAAAGATGTAACCCACAAAATTGGGAGAACATTGAGACGACAAAATATCCTGTCTATTCACAAAACACAACGATACCGAGATTACTACCTAGATCCAAAGGATTCTACCTCGAAAATCAGAAAGTCTATAGCATTGAATAAAGTGATTGTAGTCATGAAAATATCGGCCAGAATAACAGATGGATATCTGCCAAAGTACAAGGTCACAAAACATTCTGCGAAAACAAACTTATGTTCTCCTTCAACACCACCTTCAAGCAAAACAGTATAAATTTCGGCTCGGGGAAAAGATAGCACAGATACGAAACCTGAGGTTATCACCATTTAGAGAAGCTATCGTAATTGTAAAACAAGGGTGCATCATAAAAGAAATTTGCTGAACATCCCGAAAATGTTAAAGACAATTATTAAGAACAATAACCGAGAACAACCACTTAATACTTGATGGGTCATCGGATGTAGACGAATTACCTGAAATTATCAAAATTCCGACAGCTCAGGTACCATACAATCAAAATCATAAAACAAATCATTATAATTCAAGCAAGCGATATCTTAAAAAAAATACAACTGTCATCGAACATCAGCTAGCGCAGTTACATGTCGTCAATATGCTATATGGGATGTTGAAGAAACATCGACGTTTGAAAAATACACAACGATTGATAAATACCTATGAATTGATCTTCATCTTTTCTGAAAAGTCAAGGAATTATGTAGTCACTACAAATACATATTTCTTAATTGACTTGATGCAGTGTACACCATTCTGTGAGCCATGAAGAATACATCTAATTTTGCTGGTATTCTTTTCCTATAAGTACAAGGATTTCTAAACAGTTATGGGTATTTTCTATACCTAATGCCAATATTCATAAACAGTAGCTTTTGTTGATTCTTAGGCTGGGTTAAGTTTGGTCCAAAGTAATTGGGTCTATTCGACCCTCCACCGCAACTGGCAAGGGTTTCCTGTGGGTCATACCCATGTGACCTGTGACCTGTGAGAAGGCCTGTTAGACATCGTAATTCATCCCTAGTATAGTCCAACAACTGTTTGGTATCAAGTTTCAAAGGGTGAATAGACGCCTTGGAGTGAATCAATTCTGGAATATTCTTTCAGAAGTCCATAAATCTTCTTGATATCCAGGCGTTCAGTCTTTGTTTGGCAATGACAGGTTCTGGTCGGATGAAGCTGCTTGCAGCACCCTCCTTTGCAAGGAAGGCAGCAGTTTCATTGTCTTTCAGGCCAGTATGGCCAGGAATTCAGACCAGAGACAATATTTCAAGTCTTCCTATCGAGGAGAGTCGTTTTTGGAACTTTGCTACCAATTTAGATGTTGTTCGGTAGGAGCCAAGAGCTTTGTTGATGCTACGTTCATGTCATATTTTTGAATCTTATGTTTGTGGAGATTATTTTCCAAACCATTTCCTGAAAGTAACCTTTCTTATCAAGGGGACTATTGAATGTTTTTCCCATTATTATGCTATTGCGAAATCAGTTATTGTCCACGCAAATTTTTGTGGACGGACGTTATCAGCACGTCCGATTAGATTTGAAAAATACACAACGATTGATAAATACCTATGAATTGATCTTCATCTTTTCTGAGAAGTCAAGGAATTATGAAGTCACTACAAATACATATTTCTTAATCGACTTGATGCAGTGTACACCATTCTCTGAGCCATGAAAAATACATCTAATTTTGCTGGTATTGTTTTCCTACAAGTACAAGGATTTCTAAACAGTTATGAGTATTTTCTATACCTAATGTCAATATTCATAAACAGTAGCTTTTGTTGAAGCCTAGGCTAGGTTAGGTTAGGTCCAAAGTGAGTGGATCTATTTGACCCTCCACCGTAACTGGCAAGGGTTTCCTGTAGCTCATACCCATGTGACCTGTGACCTGTGAGAAGGCCTGTTAAACATCGTAATTCATCCCTAATATAGTCCAACAACTGTTTGGTATCAAGTTTCGAAGGGTGTATAGACGCCTTGGAGTGAATCAATTCTGGAATATTCTTTCAGAAGTCCATAAATCTTCTTGATATCCAGGCGTTCAGTCTTTGTTTGGCAAAGCCTAAAGCGATGCCAATGACAGGTTCTGGTCGGATGAAGCTGCTTGCAGCACCCTCCTTCGCAAGGAAGGCAGCAGTTTCATTGTCTTTCAGGCCAGTATGGCCAGAAATCCAGTGCAGAGACAATCTGTTAAGTCTTCCTATCGAGGAGAGTCGTTTTTGAAAAATTTGCTACCAATTTAGATGTTGTTCGGTAGGAGCCCAGAGCTTTGTTGATGCTGCGTTCATGTCATATTTTTGAATCTTATGTTTGTGGAGATTATTTTCCAAACCAATTCCTGAAAGTAACCTTTCTTATCAAGGGGACTATTGGATGTTTTTCCCATTATTATGCTGTTGCGAAATCTGTTCTTGTCCACGCAAATTTTTGTGCGCCGGATAAAATCTTCATCTCGCCATTTAGATCGGCGACTTTCAGAGTGTATAAACATAACCTACATTTTCGGTACATGAAAATTTGAAAATAAAAAAGTCACATTACATGGCACAAAAATCTTTCTAGTTGATGAACCAACAGGTTTCTAATTCAAATATAAAATAAGTACCACCAGTATCAAATAAATTAGATTACTTTTTTCAGTTCTACCATTACAATACACCATGGTATTCAATGAACTGAAACTTCAAGGCTTCCATGTACACAGATGGTTGAATCGATGGATGGATGGAATCTTACAGAATTTGGAATGGATTAAAGAGGGAAAGCTAAAATATCACGAAACTGTAACGGACGGTTTTGAAAACATGTTTAAAGCCTTTCTGGGTCAGATGAAAGGAGAGACAGTTGGTAAACCAATTGTAAAAGCCTAAGAAATATCAGTAGAATTCAGGATAATGGAAGTTTGACAGAAAATTGATCTGTGTTCATGGTCAGAGTTGGAATAGAATAAACTCTTTGATTTTATATGTTTTTTTATTGGAGCCCTTTTTCAAAAACGACTATTCTGATAAAAAGATAAAATATTCGGGGTGTGATAAAATCTCTGTTCATTCTCTCTACCTGAATTTCTCCCGTTCAAAATGATAATAATGTGTCCTAATTTTTTTTAAATACATATAACATACCAGATGATAGAAACAAGGAGGCGGTATTCAACTCAGTTGCTCTTTCATACAACCTGCCCCCACACCAACAATGAAAATATACATTTGATATACATTGAAAATCTACAATATACATATATACCCGTATATATACATATACACACATGTACGTACACAGCATATGAACATAAATATCAAAACTAAAATAATACGAAAAAATAAAATAATAAACAAATGAACTTTATGAAAAGGAATATTATTTAAAAGTGATAAAATAATATATTCATAATATTACTTCTATCATTCGAAAAATCAAAATCTACTAATAAAAATGGATGTTGGTTGGTTGGTTGGTTGGTTGGTTGGTTGGTAAGTGATAAACTTCTGCATCGCTCAACCGATCGTGATGAAACTTGACATGTATAAGTGATTTTTCATAGAGAAGGTTTTTAGGCTATCAATTTTTCTGTAATTCGCCACTAGATGGCGCTGTAGAACAATTTTTGAAAGCACTGTTCTATAACGCAGCGCACGCCTAAGCTCGTTGATTCTGATTATGTCAAAACATTGGAACAGCAACGATACAGCAACATAGTACTAGTTATAAATAAATCACCACATACACCTGCCCAAGTACATAAGCAGAAGGCTATTCAAAATTAATGTATTATGAAATCATATAGGTATTTTTTGAGTTCATTTTTGAAAGTTAGAGAAGAAACAGTACCTTCAACAATATCTGGCATTGCATTAAATACATTCACTAGAACATATGAGAAGCATTTACGGAACATATGGCACTATTATGTGGAGAAACTGTACATCCCCCTAAACCTGGTGACTCTTATGTAAATCGGAACCCATCACCAATTTGGCTACTGAATAAATAGTTTTATTATATTCAGAGATTTTATATATCAAGTTTGATATGTTGCATCTATCAAATCTAGATTCAAGTTTAAATCATTTTGAATTATTAAAAGACCCACTAATATGGCGAAATTTCCTGAAGTTGAAGCAGTACTTTATAAAGGATCCAGTAGACAATATCACAATTAGCAAGGCTAGATATGATTAAAGGGTGACACAGTTTAAGCTTCAATTCAGTATTGAACATTCCTATATGCAAATACAGCATTTTGAGTTTGGAACAATCATGAAATACAAATCAATTCAAAGAACTAAGATTATGATTATAAAAAAAAAGAAAAAAAATCACATCAAAGATGCTGCTTCGTTCCCTCCTGTTCATAAAAGAGGGCATATGCCTCATCGCTCACAAGTGTTTTTGGCGAAATTGAGAACACGTGTGAATCGTTGTATTCATGCCACGTGCCTGCAATATCCTGTGTAATGTCCGTTGTAAGTAGTCCCACTGTGATTCAAAAGTGCATATAGATTATAACGACAAGGAGCCACATTGTCTGTTGCATAATTGCTCATATGTAATCCATCTGAAGAAAAGTCAATGAAAACATTCAATTTGCCTCTGAATCTTTTCGTTGGGGAGAATATTTTTGAATAAATCACTAAAATACAGGGAAACTTATAGATTGATAAGGACTTTGTACATTTTCTCCTCTGCTTGCACCTCGAACACATTGGTTTTTCATCTCCTTCCAGAGTTTCGTCTCTTGTGAAAGAATCCAAGCAATGTGACAAACTCATTTGGCCAGTTCTTTGTGGTATGGGAAGAGACAAATCCCAGAAAGGATCAAAGGTTACTGATGAGTGTCCACAGTGTGTGCACTTCATAGTGGATTTTAATTGACTAACAAAATAGTCTACAATCTTGGAGTTGTTTATATTCAAATATCTCTGCCAGGACTCTTGTGCTTTTCCGTTATTGCTCAATTTTTCGTCAATCTCAGTTAAGATCGGTTCAGGTTTCTCAGTAATTCTGTTGAGGTCCTCATGTGAACCTTCCAAAAGATATCGAAGGAATTCGTGGGCGACTTGACCCATGAATCGAGGGGCACATCTTTGTATCTGATTTTTGAAGTAGACTGTGTTAATTACTCCATCAGATGAATCTTCTGACTACAATTCCTTGATAACTTCTGCGAACGCAGTTCAGCGTACGATTTTTTTACCAAATGGTTTACATGTGCAGTAAATTTGAGCTCAGCGTTGAAATATTCTCCCACGTTCTTACATTTGTACGAGGCGTTTAATTGGCTACCATTGATCGAAATTTAAAGTTCATTGCTCTCCATGTTTTCGTTGTTTTTATACCCAAGAATCAGCATTTCAGTTTTGGTTCCATTCAATAGGAGGCAATGAACTTTCGAAAGTTTGAAATTGAAATCAAGATCAGAATTGATTGCATCACAGGAAGTTTTTAAGTCAACCCGGAAAAAATATTTATAAATCTGGGTATCATCAGCATATTGATGAATCAATTTCAAGATATTTGGAAAACTCAGCTGTGTACAAGGTAAATGAAAGTGGGCCCAGTATGCTACCCTGGAGTACTCCCCATAAGACAATTTCACTTCCACATAGCTCACTTCGCTAACTGCGATGTTGCAAATAACTTTCAATGATTTTTACCACCGATTCCTCCCTTCCAAAATATCTAAGTTTTTTACAAAGCAAGTTGTGATCCAAAGTACCAAAAGCTTCGCTATAATCAATTAAAACCAATATCGTACTCTGTTTCTGATCACAAGCTCTAAATACAGCATCAGTAACCTTTACAAGTGCCGTTGTAGAGTACTATGTCCCGGGCGGAAACCACATTGGGTTATGGGTAAAATTTCATTTTCATCAAGTGTATCTTTAATTTGAATGGCAACTATTTTCCCAAGAATTTTGGAACATATAGGTAAGATACTAATTGGTCTGAATTGTGACATTGATATGGAATCATTTGACTTAGGAATCGGATGAATGAAAGATTTTTTCCATATGAAAAATGGGAGATAAAACTTTCTATGTATTTATACCACATGTATTTGTAACTAACGTTACGGCAGTTTCTACCTATAAGGATATTTACAAACGAATACAATACAATGAGTTTATTGTAATCGTTTGAAAATGTCCTTATAGGACGAAACTGCAGTAACGTTAGTTACAATTACAAGACTCTATAGAAGAGGTACAAATCTCTAATCTTTCTTCGGTGTTCTAGGCCATCAAGGTTGCCTGTGATGTTCGCGTCTCCAATCAGACGGATGGCTCTTTTCTGGATGGAATCCAGCACTTTCAGGGTATGTTTGGGGGCAGAGCTCCATACATGAGAACAATACTGCAAAGAAGGTCTGATCTGAGCTTTATAAAGCATCAAAAGTTTGTGAGGTGTGTACAGTTTTCTGGTTCAGAACAGTGTTCCAAGCTTTTGAGAAGCAGTCTCCCCAATTACAGCGACATGACTGTGTCAAGACATATTGGTGTCTATTTTAACGTAGCAGAAAGCGATATTGTCTGTCCTGTGGCTGAGCTACAACGAAAGGAAGACGGAGTTCATGTACATACCAACTAGTAAGAATGAGATACCCCCGGTCCTAGAAATGAATGGGAGAAGTATAGAAATGAAAACGAGTGTTAGGTACCTCGGAATTGTGGTGGACTCGGGATTATTGTTCATAGACCACCACAAGGAAGTGAGAAAGAAGCTGAGTGAGCTGGCAGAAAAAATGAGACCGGGAGAAATATTGGATTAAAGAGAGAATGTGTGAGAGTGATATATGAAAGGGTAGCCAAACCTGCGGCTTTGTATGGAGTACAGGTGTGGGAGAATAGAGTACATGACAGAAAGGTGAGAAGACAGCTGAGTGCAGCACAGAGGCCGTTTCTGTTGGTATCGTGTGGGGCTTACAGGACGACACCAACGGCTGAATTCGGTGTCATCACCGGAATGGCGCCATTACAGGTAGAAGGATGTGCCAGGTACCAAGAATGGAGAGAGAGAGAATGGGACACGGAAGACTGAGGACAGAGTGGAAGGAGTAGATAAGATATTCCCCTGTTTACAAGAGGAGTTGCTGGAAGAGGAGGAGGACGAAGGGGTGATTGAAGTATATGTAGATGCCGAAGCGAGGATAGAGTTAGAAAGAATGGGGATAGGAAGGGCATATAAAAGAGGAGGGGATGAATGGATTACAGGGAATGAAAGGGTCACCGGACAAAGCAGCGTGAACGAGGCAGAGCTGATTGCGATCGAGCGAGTGATCAGCATGTGGGGCATGGATGAGAGCGTGAAAGTAGTCAGTGACTCTGCAATGGTGGTAGAAAGAGTGAAAGCAGGAAGAGTGGGGAGTAAAAGGGCAGCGATGATTCAGCGGATGATTGAGGAAAGGCATGGGAGGGGAGTACGTACCCTGATTACGTGGAAGAGGGGGCACGATCGGAACAACGTAGGTAATGCGAAGGCTCATGAAGAAGCCACCAAGGGTATGAACAGAGCAGGTATCACGTGGGATGAACGAAAAAGAATAAAAGAGAAGATTAGAAAAGAATGACAGAGGGAATGGGAGAGAGGCACGACTAGGCGGATGTTCTACAGGTTCTGCAGAACAGTTGGATATGAGTTCTTTGATCTGTCGCAGAAGGCTTTCCAACTGCTCACTGGGCATGGGAACTTTCCGGGGTACCTGGCAAGATTTAACCTGGGCCCGGAGGTTTCCTGCGCCTGTGAGTACGGGGAGCCTGAAACGGCAGAGCACGTGATTGATAGATGCATGAACGGGGACGGGATTGGATGGCGAGAATGGAAGGAGAGGACGGGAAGGATAAGTGGCGAAATCATGTTGAGAGATACAAATGGGACAAAAAATGAATGGATACGTTTTGTTAATGACTGGACGGAGAACATGGTGAGGAGAGAAAAGGAAGTATAGATGTGAAGCGATCTCG